CCCAAATTTCCAACTCCCCCAATTCCTCCAATCCCCACAACTCCCCCAATTCCCACAATCCCACAAATTCCCCCAACTCCCCCAATTCCCAAAATGCTCAACTTCCCTCAATCCCACAACGCCCCGTATTTCCAACTCCCCACAATCCCCAAATTCCCCAACTTCCCTCAATCCCCCAAGCGCCCGTTCCCGTTTCCCGTTTCCCACCTCGTCCCGCAGGGAGCGGTGCCGCGGCTCGTGCCGGATGCGGAGCTGGTTCCCGTCCAGGCACATGGGGAAGCAGCCATAGAACTTCACCATGGACTCCGCGGCTCTGCGGGGGATCTCCAGGTACGCCTGGGAAAAACGGCCACAATTCCCAAAAATTCCCCCCAAAAAATCTTCCAAAAATTTAAAAAAAAAAACCTCCAAAAAATTCCTCAAAAAATTCCCCCAATTCCAAAAAATCTGCCCCAAATCCCCCCAAAAATCCTCCTAAAAAGTCTCCAAGAATACCCCTGAAATCTCACCAAAAATTCCAAAAGAATTCCCCGAAAATCTCCACAAAATTTTTTTCAAAAATTCCCCCAAAAATAAAATTTAAAAATTCCTCCAAAAATCCCTCCCAAAAATTAAAAAAAAACCTCTGAAAAATCTCCCAAAAATTCCTCAAAAAATTCCCAATTCCCCAAAATCTGCCCCAAATCCCCTAAAAAATGTTTTAAAAAAATCTCCAAGAATCCCCTCAAATCTCACCAAAAATTCCCAAAGAATTCCCCAAAAATCAATTCCCAAAGAAGTCGCCAAACATTGCCAAAGAATTCACCAAAAATCTCCACAAAAATATTTTCAAAAATTCCCCCAAAATAAGATTAAAAAATTTCTCCAAAAATCCCTCCCAAAATTAAAAAAAATTCCCAAAATTTCCACAAATCTTACAAAAATTCCCAAAAACATCTCAAGAATTACCCAAAAAATCTCCCCCAAAATTAAAAAAAAAAACCCAAAAAATGTAAAAAATTCCCCAAAACAAAAAATTCCCCAAAAACTCCCTCATAAATTTCCCAAAAATTCCCTCAAAAATTCCCAAAGAATCTCCTCGAATATTGTAAAAAAACTCCCCAAAAAACCCCCTCAAAATCCATCACAAATAAAAAAAACTTCCTCAAAATCCCCTCCAAAAATCCATCGAAAATAAAAAAACCATTCCCAAAAATCCCCCAAAACACTGCTCCCACTGTTCCCATCCCAAAGGGAATTCCCATCCCCATCCCGATCCGACAGCCCAGAGCTCCCGTTCTCATCCCAAAGGGAATCCCAATCCCAAACCCGATCCCAGAGCTCACTGTTCCCATCCCAAAGGGAATCCCAATCCTGCACCCAATCACAGAGCTCCTGTTCCCATCCCAAAGGGAATTCCAATCCTGATCCCAGAACTCCCGTTCCCACCCCAAAAGGAATCCCAATCCCAAGGCCAGAGCTCGCCATTCCCATCCCAAAGGGAATCTCAATCTCAATTCCAATCCCAAACCCATAGCTCACTGTTCCCATCCCAAATCCCAATCCCACTCCTGATCCCAATCCCAGTTTGCTGTTCCCATCCCAAAGGAAAGTTCACTCCTGATCCCACAGCTCCCGTTCCCACCCCAAAGGGAATCCCAATCCCAATCCTGATCCCAGAGCTCCCGTTCTGATCCCGAAGGGAATTCCAGTCCTGATCCCACAGCTCACTGTTTCTCCTGTTCCCATCCCAAAGGGAATCCCAATCCCGGAGCTGCTGTTTTCATCCCAGAGGGAATTCCAATCCCAATCGTGATCCCAGAGCTCCCAAATCCATCCCAAAAGGAATTCCAATCCCAATCTCAGAGCCGAGCACTTGCTGTTCCCATCCCAAAGGGAATCCCAATCCCAATCCCGATCCCACAGCTCGCCATTCCCATCCCAAAGGGAATCCCAATCCCAGAGCTCCCATTCCCATCTCAAAAGGAATTTCAATCCTGATCCCAATCCCAGAGTTCACCATTCCCATCCCAAAGGGAATTTATGGGGTTTGGGATTGGGGAGTTTCCCGTGGGAATTGTGGGGTGGGATGGGATGGAGCCGAAGGGGCTGGAGATTGGGATTGCTGGGAATCATTGGGAAAGCAGGGAAATTCCCAGTGTTCCCACAATTCTCAAAATTCCCAAGTCCCCACAATTCCCTCAATCTCCACATTTCCCTCATTCTCCCAAATCCCCACAATCCTCACAGTTCCCAAATCCCCAAAATTCCCCCAATCCCAAAATCCCCAAATTCCCGAACCCCGCTGACCTTCCCGCCTGGATCCGCGGGTTCCTCGCTCACCGCAGGCTCTGAAAACGGGGAAAAGGAGCAGCTGAATCCTACAGCATTCCCAAATTCCCCAGGGATTTCGGGAATTCCCAAACTTCCTTTTATCCCTTATTTCCAAAGGATTTTTTTTCCCCCGAAACCACCCCAGCTTTGGATCCCCCCCAGCTCTAAAGAATTCCATGAATTCCCTGGAATTACCTGGCCCTGCCTCCAGGGTTGTCCCGAGGTCCTCCAGCCCATCCTGCTCCGGGGAGGATTTGGGATGGGGATTGTTGGGATGGGGATTGTTGGGATGGGGATTGTTGGCATCCGAGGGCTCCGATCCCGGAATTTCCAGCCCGGCCTCGGCCGGAGTCCCGGAATCTTCACCCGTTGCTTTTCCTGAGAGGAAAAACCAGCGCCTGGAGATTGGTACAGGGCTCGTTTCCCTTCCTAAATCCATTTTCCCAAGTTTTTTTGCCACAATTTCCTCATTTTCCAGAGATTTTCTCCCATTTTCTCTTCATTTTTCCAAGTTTTCACCCCCACGTTTTTCCTTCCCATTTTCCCGAGGTTTTTTTCTCCTGTTTACCTGAGGTTTTTTTCCATTTTCTCAGTTTTTTTCCCATTTTTTCTCATTTTCCCAAGGTTTTTCCCCATTTTCCCAAGGGTTTTTCCCCCATTTTCCCAAGTGTTTTTTCTTTCCCATTTTCTTTTCCCATGTTCCCAAGATTTTTTCCCTATTTTCCCGAGTTTTTTTTCCCCTCTTTCTCCAAGGTTTTTTCCCCATTTTCTTCCATTTTCTTTTCTATTTTTTCCAAGTTTTCCCCCCATTTTCCCAATTTTTTTTCCATTTTCTCTTCCTATTTTCCCAAATTTCACTTTCTTATTTTCCCAAATTTTTCCCCCAAGATTTTTTCCCATTTCTCCAATTTTTCCCCCTTTTCCCCAAGTTTTTTCCCCATTTTCCAGAGCTTTTTTTTCCATTTTCCCAAGGTTTTTTCCTGCTATTTTCTCTTCTCGTTTTCCCAAGACTTTTTCCCATTTCCTTCCCATTTCCCCCCATTTTCTGAGGCATTTTTTCCATTTTTCCCAATTTTTCCCCATTTCCCCCTCACCTTCCCCATCTGGGGCTTTCTTCACTTTCTTCTCTCCCAGCGTTTTCTTCACTTTTTCCTTTTTCCCTACAAAAAAATCCCCCAAAAACCCCGGAATTCCCAATTCCCATCAGTGATTCCTTCCCAAGGGAACAAAATTCCAAAAAAATCCAAGGAATTCCAGGGATTGGAGCAAAAAAAAAAAGGGATTTGGGGGGAAAAATCTGGATTTTTTTAGGGTAAAAATCCCAAAATTTAAATTAAATCCAGGGCAATTTATGGAAAGAAAGAAGGGGATTTTTGGGGGAAAGAATTTGGATTTTTTGGGGTTAAAGAAACTCAAAATTTAAATTAATTCTGTGGGATTTTGGAGGCAAAAAAATCCCAAAATTTAAATTAAATCCAGGCAAATTTTGGGGGCAAAAAAGGGAAGATTTTAGGGGCAAATGGGGATTTTAGGTAGAAAAAAAAGTGGATTTTAGAAGGATTTGGGGGAAAAAAATTAATTTTTGGGAGAAAAGGGAGGAATTTTTTGGAAAAAAAAAATTGGGGATTCTGGGGGAGAAATTCAGATTTTTTTTTTTTTGGGTAAATAATCCCAAAATTGAAATTAATCCAAAACCCCAGCTCAGGAATGGAAGAAAATCCATGATTTGGAACCCAAGAATTCCCTGTTAAAACCCAATAGAATTAAAAATAATGCAGCCAATTAATGAATCATTAATTAAGCTAATTAATATTTCATTAATTAATAGTTAAATGAGCTGAGAAATAAAAGAAAAACAATGACTTGGCACCAATAATCTTTATTAAAAGCCAAAGAAATTAAAATTAATTAAACCAATTAAATTATTAATTAGGCTGGTCAGTTGAGAATTAATCACTAATTAATTATTAATTAGTTAAAGATGATCAACCTCACCTGTCAGGACTTTGGGGCTCTTGGTGTTGGTGCTTGGAACTTTCCTGGGAGGGTAAAAAAACCACCAAAAAATCAATTTAATCAATAATTATTAATTATTAACGCAAATTAAAGCCCAAGGTTTGAGCCCCTCAGGTACCCAATTATTCTAATTAACATTAATTAATTAATGAGGGTCTTACTTGGTGGTTGTTGGAGTTTTTTTGGGGTTCAGGACTCGTTTTTTCACCGGTTTTTTTGCCTGGAAGGGGAAAAAAAATTTGGGATTTATTAATAATTGACATGAAGTAGAACTATCAATTCTAATTAATTAATGTTAATTAAGCCATTATAAAATATGAATTATGGCCATCGTTACTTAAATTTTCATTTACATTTTATGAATAAATGTATGATTATATTAACAAATACATGAAACTGGTTTAATAACAGTTGTTAACAATTAAGTTTGTTAATTAATTTAAATTAATTTATTATTTATTAGTGTGTGTGTATCTATAAATGTATGAAAAATAAGCTTAATAATCATTAACACTTCAGTGGAATAATTAATTAATAGCTCTGGCTGGAATTCCTGGATGCTGGGCTGCAATTCCCACCCCACCCCCATTTCTGGATGAATTCCCGGCTGGAATTCCCAGATTCCTGGTCAGAATTCCCAGATCCTGACTGGAATTCCCTCTCCTAGCTTGGAATTTGTGGATTCCAGGATGGAATTCCCTGCTCCCAGTTGGAATTCCCAAATCCTGGGCTGAAATTCCCTCTCTGGGTTGGAATTCCCATCTGGAATTCCTGCTCCCAGTTGGAATTCCTGGCTGAAATTCCTGCTCCAGGATGGAATTCCCAGATCCTGGGCTGGAATTCCAGCTCCCACCCTCATTCCATGCATGCCATTCCCAGTTGGAATTCCCAGACCCTAGGACGGAACTCCCAGCTGGCATTGCTGCTCCAAGTTGGAATTCCTGATCAAATTCCTGGGTGGAATTCCCAGTTGGCATTTGCAGTTGGAATTCCTTGCTGGGAATTCCTGGTTGGAATTCCCTCTCCTGGACGGAATTCCCAGATCCTGGGCTGGAATTCCTGCTCCCAGTCAGAATTCCCAGATGGAATGCCCAGCTGGAATCCTGGCTGGAAATTCCTCTCCCAGCTGGAATTCCCAACTGGAATTGGCACTCCTGGTCGGAATTCCCACTGGGAACTGCTGCTCCACCCTCATTTTCCAGATGCCATTCCCGGCCAACATTCCCGCTCTTGGCTGGAATCGCCACTCCCAACTGGAATTCCTGGTTGGAATTCCCGGATTCCCGGCTGGATTCCCTGCTCCCAGTCAGAATTCCCAGTGGGAATTCCCGCTGGAGGCCCCGCTCCCACCTGGGCCCTCTCGGCCACGCTGATCCGGACGCGTTTCCCGTTGAGCAGCACCGGCGCCGTCTCCCCGAACTTGACGGCGGCGATCACGGCCTCCTTGTAGTTCATCTCCAGGTAGGCCTGGAACACAGGGAATGCCGGAATTCCCGGAATTCCTGGCGTTAGGGGGGAGGTCTGTGGGAATTGGGGTATGGGAGGGAAATCTGGCCAGGAGGGAATCCAAGAGTGGAGGGGAAAGGGGAAAGGGAAGAAGGAGGAAAAGGGAATAAAGAGGAAAAGGGAAAGGGGGAAAAAGGGGGGAAAGGGAAAAGGAAGGGAAAATGGGAAAAAAGGAAAATAAAGGGAGAACAGAGGGAAAAAAGGAGCAGGAAGGGAAAAAAGGGAGAAAAGGAGAATGAAGGGGAAGGAAGGAAAAAAGGAAAACAAAGGGAGGACAAGGGGAAAAATGAAGGGGAAAAGGGGGAAAAGGGGGAAAAAGAGGAAAAGAGAAGGGGAGGAAGGGAAAAGAAAGGAAAAGGAAGGAAAAACAAGGGGAGAAAGGAAAATAAAGGGAGAACAAAGGGAAAAAAAGGGAATACAGGGAATAAAGTGGAATAAAAGGGAATAAAAGAGGAAAGGGGGGAAAAATGCAAAAAAGGGGGAAAAACGGGGAAAAGGGAAGGGGATAAGGGGGGAGAAAGAGAAAATAAAGGGAAAAAGAAAAAGGATGGGAAAAGATGGGGGAATGGGGGAAAAGAAGGGGGAAAAGGAAAAATTATGGAAAAGAGAGGAAAGAGAGGAAAAAGAGGGGGAAAAAGGGAAAGGGCAATGGGAAAGGGGAAAAAGAGGAAAAAACCAGGAAAATGGGAGGGAAAAGAAGAGAAATGGGGAAAAAGAGGAAAAAAAAGGAAGGAAAAAAAATCCCTCCCGATCTACAAAATCACAGAACTCTCCGAAGTCCCCAGTCTTGGGGACAGCCCTTGCAGGATGGGATCTCCGGGAATGCTGACCCCGATTCCCGATCCCGTTTTCCGGGCTCACCTCGTTGCGGGAGCGCAGCACGATGAGGTCGCTGACCTTCCCGAAGGGCTGCACCAGCTTCTTGATGTCCTGGTCGGAAAATCCCGAATCCGGCAGCTCCGAGATCTGCAGCACGGTCCCACAGCTCAGCAGCTCCTCCCTCAGCAGCTGGAAAACACGGAGAGAATTCCCAAAAATCCGGAATTCTGCTGGGTTTTGTCACTGGGAAGGTTGGATGGGATTAGGGAGGAAAGCTGGATGGAATTCCAGAATTCCAGGATTTTTTCATCCCTGGAAGTGTCCAAGGAAAGGTGGGACTGGAGACACTTGGGATTGTGGGAATTGTGGAATAAATCCTGATGGAATTCCAGAATTTTTTTATCCCTACAAGGGTCCAAGGAAAGGTGGGACTGGAGACACTTGGGATTGTGGGAATTGTGGAATAAATCCTGATGGAATTCCAGAATTCCAGGATTTTTTCATCCCTACAAGGGTCCAACGAAAGGTTGGATTGGAGCCACCTGGGATTGTGGAATAAATCTTGATGGAATTCCAGGACTTTCCATCCCTGGGAGTGTCCAAGGAAAAACTGGATTGGAGCCACCTGGGATTGTGGGAATTGTGGAATAAATCATTATGGAATTTCAGGAATTTTCACCCCTGGAAGTGTCCAAGGAAAGGTTGGACTGGAGCCCAAACCCCTGGAATTCCCCAATCCCCCCCAAACCCCCAGAATTCCCAAATTCCCCCCAAAGCCCCGGAATTCCCAAACTGCCCCCAAAGCCCTGGAATTCCCAACCCCACCCTGTTGTAGGGCTGACTCTTCCCGGACGATTCCTCCTCCTCTTCCCTCTCTTTTTTCAGGGTCGCCCCTTGGCCTTCCGGGGCAGAGCTGGGTCCCGCCCCTCCCTCTTTCCGGGGATTTTTCGGGATGCTCCTGGAGGTTTTCTTGGGAATTCCGTGGGGTTTCCCGGAGCTCAGGGACTCCTGAACCGCCGCCTGCAGGGATTTGTGCTTCTGGAATTCGGCCAGGAATCCCGGCCCCAGCGTTTTCATCACGGCCTCCAGAGCGGCTTTCCTGGCTGGGAGAGCAGAGCAGGGATTGGTGGGGTTTGGGGGAAAAAAATGGGGATTTTTTGGGGATATTTTGGGAATTTTGGGAAAAAAACGTGAATTTTCCGCAGTACTTACTAGCTCGGAGCCTTCCTCTAACTCCTGCCTTCCTGGGCTGCTCAGGGTGCTTTAATTAGTCCTTAATTAGTCCTTAATTAATGCCCGGCTGCTGCACGGCTGCGGAGAACCCACAGGTCGGTTACTGGTCGGAGCATTCCCCATTTATTTCATTCATCCCTAAAAAAAATCCTGGGAATCCCAAAATTCCCTTTGGGAAAACCCGTTGAGCATTCCCAAAATTGCAATTAGGGGTGAAAATTTGGGAATTCCACTGAGCAACCCCGAAATTCCCATCAGGAATCCCACTGAGCATTCGTAAAATTCCAATTAGGGATGAAAAACCTTTGGGAATCCCACTGAGCATTCCCAAAATGCTGATCAGGGATGAAAAAGCATCAGGAATCCCACTGATCATTCCCAAAATTCCCACTGGATTTAAAAGATTTTGGGAATCCCACTGATCATTCCCAAGATTCCCACTGGGAGTGAAAAACCAACAGGAATCCCACTGAGCATTCCTGGAATTTCCATTGGGAATCCTACTGAACATTCCCAAAATTCTGATCAGGGATCAAAAAACCAGCGTGAATCTCAGCAAATTCCCAAAATTCCCACTGGGGGTGAAAAACCAACAGGAATCCCACTGAGCATTACTGGAATTTCCATTGGGAATCCCACTGAGAATTCCCAAAATTGTGATCTGGGATCAAAAAACCATCGTGAATCCCATCGAATTCCCAAAATTCCCACCGAGGGCAAAGAAAACTTTGGGAACACCGCAGAATTCCCAAAATTCCGATCACGGATCAAAAAACCATCGTGAATCCCATCGAATTCCCAAAATTCCCACCGAGGGCAAAGAAAACTTTGGGAACACCGCAGAACTCCCAAAATTCTGATCAGGGATCCAAAACCGTAGTGAATCCCTGCCAACTCCCGTAATTCCCATTGGGGGTGAAGAAAACTTTGGGAATTCCACTGAGAATTCCCAAAATTCTGATCTGGGATCAAAAAACCATCATGAATCCCAGTGAATTCCCAAAATTCCCATTGGAGGTGGAAAAAACTTTGGGAATCCCACTGATCATTCCCAAAATTCCCTTTGAGGGTGAAAAACCAACAGGAATCCCACTGCGTATTCCCGAAATTCCCATTGGGAATCCCATTGACCATTCCCAAAATTCTGATCAGGGATCAAAAACCATCATGAATCCCTGCGAATTCCCATAATTCCCACTGAGGGCGAAGAAAACTTTGGGAATCCCACTGATCATTCCCAAAATTCTGATCAGGGATCAAAAAACCATCATGAATCCCAGTGAACTCCCAAAATTCCCACTGAGGGCAAAGAAAACTTTGGGTATTCCACCGAGCATTCCCAAAATTCCCATTGGGTTTAAAAAGATTTTGGAAATCCCATTGAGCATTCCCAAAATTCCCACTGAGGGTGAAAAACCAACAGGAATCCCACTGCGTATTCCCAAAATTCTGATCAGGGATCAAAACAACACTGTGAATCCCACTGAATTCCCAAAATTCCCATTGGAGGTGGAAAAAACTTTGGGAATCCCACTGAGCATTCCCAAAATTCCCACTGGGGGTGAAAAACCAACAGGAATCCCACTGTGTATTCTCAAAATTCTGATCACGGATCCAAAACCATAGTGAATCCCTCCCAGCGAATTCCCAAAATTCCCACCGAGGGCGAAGAAAACTTTGGGAACACCGCAGAATTCCCAAAATTCCGATCACGGATCAAAAAACCATCGTGAATCCCATCAAATTCCCAAAATTCCCACTGGGGGCAAAGAAAACTTTGGGAACACCGCAGAACTCCCAAAATTCTGATCAGGGATCCAAAACCGTAGTGAATCCCTGCCAACTCCCGTAATTCCCATTGGGGGTGAAGAAAACTTTGGGAATTCCACTGAGAATTCCCAAAATTCTGATCTGGGATCAAAAAACCATCATGAATCCCAGTGAATTCCCAAAATTCCCATTGGAGGTGGAAAAAACTTTGGGAATCCCACTGATCATTCCCAAAATTCCCTTTGAGGGTGAAAAACCAACAGGAATCCCACTGCGTATTCCCGAAATTCCCATTGGGAATCCCATTGACCATTTCCAAAATTCTGATCAGGGATCAAAAAACCATCATGAATCCCAGCGAATTCCCAAAATTTGGGTGAGGAAACCTTTGGGAACGCCGCAGAATTCCCAAAACTCCCTTGGCGGGCGGACAAACCCCGCGAACCCGCGGCAAGCCCCCGACTCCCGCGGGGGCGGCAGTGACCTTCGGAGCGGCTGGAGCGGCGGGCGCGCTCGGCGCTGGGCGATCTCCGCGGCCGGGGGCTGCCCCTCGGGAAGGCGCGGGGCCGCTGCGGGGAGCGGGAGCGGGATCGGGAGCGGGGCCGAGTTTGGGAAAAGGGAGATGTGGGATTTATGGGGAAAGGAAGAAGTGAGAAAGAACTGGGTAAAAATGGGAAAACACTGGGCAAAACTGGAATAAATGGGAAAAAATGGAGTAAACTGGACTAAACTGGATAAAACTGGAAAAAATTGATAAAACTGGAAAAAATGGGAAAAAATGATTGAATGGGACTTAACGGGATCAAACTGGAGTGAAAGGGATAAAACTGGAAGAAAATGGAAAAAAAAAATTTAAAAATGGAAAAAAAAAAGAAAAAAATGAAAAAATGGAAAAATGGAAAAAATGAAAAAATGGAAAAAAATGAAAAAATGGAAAGATAATAGAAAAAATGGAAAAAATGAAAAAATGGAAAAAAAAAAGAAAAAAGGAAAAAAAGGAAAAATTTAAAAAATGGGGAAAAATGGAAAAATAATAGAAAAATGGAAAAAATGGGGGGAAAATGGACTTAAACGGATGAAACTGGAATAAAAGGGATAAAACTGGATAAAACAGCACTAAACTGGAAAAAATGGAAAAGTAGACTAATCAGGAGTAAACTGGAAAAATCTAGAAAAAACTGGAAAAAATAGAGAAAAATTGAGGAAATTGGGAAAAATGGAAATACTGGATTAAATGGGATTAAATAGGAATAAGAGGCATAAAATTGAATAAAAGTGGAAAAAATGGAGAAACTGGGGAAAAATGGGCTAAACTGGACTAAACTAGATAAACTGGAAAAATGGGAAAAACTGGAAAAAAACTCGAAAAAAACCAGGAAAAATAGAAAAACTGGAAAAAATGGATAAAAATATGTGGAATTTAAGGTACCTCCAACCCAAACCAGCTTGGAATTCTATGGAATTTGGGACAAAATCCCATAAAAAGGCCCTGAAATTTTATAATAAAAATGTGACCTTGCAGAGAGGGGTTGGAGAGGGCAAATCAGGCAAGAAATGGTTAAAATTAATTAATTAATTAATGAGGAATTCAGGGAAGGAATGAAAATCACAAGGTACCTGCTGGAGGAGTGAGCCTCAGGATTCCACTCGGGATATCTGTAGATGACAAAGGGAAAAGTGTCAGTGGAAAAGCCAAAATTCCCTAAAAAAAAGGGATTTTTCTGGATAAGTATTCCCATTTGGGACCCCAAAAGCACCAAACGTTGATTTCTGTTTGTCCAAGTGAGGTTGGATGGGAATTGGGATCGTGGGAATGTCCCTGGATGGGATTCCAGGTTCTTCCCACCCCAAACCATTCCAGGATTTTGGAGCCCCCTGGCTCTGGGAGAACTGGGAATGTTCACCTGGAGAGGGGAAAATTCCAGGGAAAATTCTGAGGGATTCCAAAGGGGAGCTGTGATTTTGGGATGATTCAGGACTGGATCCCAAGGGGTGTTTAAAATCCCAAAACATTTCTTGGGATGGGGGGAGAATCCAGGGAAATGCTGGGGCTGCCCCAAACCCCTGAAATGTCCAAGGCCAGGCAGGACAGGGCTTGGAGCAACCTGGGATAGGGGAAGGTGGGAATGGGTGGGATTTAGGGTCACTCCCAACACAATTCCAGATTCTGCTCTGGAGCCAGGCTGGGAGAGCTGGGAATGTTCCCCTGGAGAAGGGAAATTCCACGGAAAGCTCAGAGTCCCTGAAGGGGCTCCAGGAGAGCTGGAATTTCGGACAAGGCCTGCAGGGACAGGACACAGGGAATGGCTCCCACTGGCAAAGGGGAGATTGGGCTGGGATCTTGGCAAGGAATTCCTGGCTGGGCTGGAGTTTCCAGGGAATCCCAGGAATTCCCACCCCTTGGATCCCTGGCAGTGTCCAAGGCCAGGCTGGGATGGACTTGGATCCACCTGGGATTGTGGGAGGTGTCCCAGCTCAGGGATGGGGTGGAATTTTTGGGATTTAAGGTCCCTCTCCAGCATTCCATGATTCCCAGTGGAACCCCAGTAGATCCCCAATGGATTCCCCAATGGGCTCCCAGCAGATCCCCAGTGGATCCCAGATGGATCCCCAGTGGATCCCTTACTGTTGGCGCAGCCTGCGGCAGCTCTCGAGGTGGGCGGGGTTGTTCTGGTGCAGGATCCAATCCTGGGGGAAAAAAAAACATTGGGAAAAGTGGGATCAGGATGGAAAACCCCGAGACCATCCCAATCCCTTGGAGCTGGTTTTTCACTTCCCAGCCCATTTTTACCTCGGAAAAGTCAAATTTCCATGGCATTCAGGCAGGAGGTTAAAAGCTGATTATCACTGCTCCAGAACAAGAGCCTCAATTAAATTAATTCAATCAATTGATTGCATTAATTAATTCAATCACTTCATTAAATCGATTAATTCTTCAATCAACCCACCCCCACGCTGGGGATGGCAGCAGCACGTGGATCACCAGAGGCTGCTCCAAAAAAATTGGAATGAAAGGGAATAAATCCATGGTTTGCTGTCACATCCATGAGCAATTCCAGCTCCCTCAAAATGTGGCATCTCCACATCCAATCTCATTCCCAGCACGGAATTTCCGTGCCTGGAGCTCTGGGAATGTTCAGTTCCCATCATGTCACAGCTCAAAGGTCATTCCAGAGCCTCGGGATGTTTTTCACGCTCCTTTGTAGTTTAAAAAATCTGATAAAATCAGGATTTCATTCCATATAAAAATGCCTAAACTCAGGTTTAACTGGGAATATTGACAGGGAGCTGGGAAAAAAAGGAGGCAGTTTTCTACAGAGAAGGGATATTCCTTGGAAAACTCTGGAATTCTTCAAGGTGGAACACCAGCAATGATAATTATTAAATATCCTTGGGAAAAAAATCAACTTCCAGCTGCTCTTAGATCACAAATTCCAATCAAATACGGAATAATTAATATAAAATAATGGATCTGAAGAGTCAGGATGATGGAATAATTCCCACGTGGATAAAGCAGCAATTTCAGCATTCCAAGCAGGTTTTCCCTAATTCCAGGCCGTCCCTAAGCAATCCCATTCCCAAAGATCCGGATTTTTGCAGGCTTCAATTTCACCAGGATAAACCAAAGCTGTTCCTCAAGGAAAACTTGGTGGGAACAAAAAGGGAATTTGACTCCCAGAATTCCAATTCCATGATGCCAAGAAGGGGTTTTGGCTCCCAAATCCCTCCAGCTGCTGATGCAAGACTTTTGGGAATCTTCTTCTCCTTGCCAGGTCCTCACCAGCCAAAGCCCTCTGGATTTACGGATTTTCCTCCTTTTTGTCTCGTTCCTGGCCCTTCCCACTCTTTGGGAATAATCCACTGCCCATGGGATCATCATGGAATGGTTGGGTTGGAAGGGAACCTAAAGATGATCCCAATTTCCCAGGTTGCTCCAAGCCCCATCCAGCCCGGATTTGGACATTCCAGGCATGGAGCAGCCATGATTTTTCCTGGGATCCAAAGAAATCCTTTCCCTAAAATTACAGGATCTCTTCCCATAAATCTTGGTGAGAAGAAAAATTCCATCTGAACTCCTCCATTCCCACCTTCCCTAATTCCATCCCAACCTCCTCTCACTCACGGATCACCACCAAGAAATCCTGGAAGCAGAAGGCGGCGGAGCAAAGTGTCCAATAAAGGAATTCCGAGTGCAAATCTTCACGGAAAACTGAAAATCCCAAGGATTTCACAGATTCGAGGTCCAAGGAGGCGTCACCCCCAACTTTGAACGGATTTGGGGAACAAAAGTGGATAAAAATAAGGATAAATCCCATCCCTTGTGCTGGGAATGTTTCAAATCCACTTCATTCCAGATGTGATGGGACTGAGGATGAAGGAATCGTTGCTATTCCAAAAAATCTGCTCCATCCAAGACATGAAGTGTTTGGAGAAGGAGGAATCCCACAAATCCTGCTTTGTTATTCCCACGGGACGCAATTCTGAGCGGAAAACGAAGCTGCTCCATGGAACATCCATAAAATCCTTCGAGATTTTGAGGATTTGGGAAATCAGAATTGAAAGGGAACAGCAGCGGGGTCAGACTCCGCCTATCCTAGAGCAGAACTTGGAATTTTGCCCTAAAAAAACACCCAGGACACAAAGATTTTTGGGAATATCTCGCCTAAGCATCGATTTTTGCCTCAAATTCTGATTTTAATGCCCCAAAATCCACCTTGGTGCGGCTGCACCTCCTCACAGCCAACCCTGAGGATCCCACAGGAACATTCCTCAGGATCAGAGTCCAACCTCTCACCACATCCCTTCCTGCCTGAGATCAAAATGAGGCCAAATCTGTTAAATTCTGGCGCTGCCCCAACCCCATCACTGACACCTCCACAAATTTCCACCATTTTTTTCCACAAATTCCCAATATTTTGGACCTGCTTCAAAGTTGAAAATTATCCGTTTTCCATAAAAAACTCTGGATGCAGGTGGGAAATACAAAAACTTGTGGCTTTTAGACCAAAAACCCCAAAACCTTAAAATGTAACAGCAATCTGTAAAAATGACATCTAGGTGGGATTTTTTCCCAAGGAAAATTCAGTTTCCAGAGTTTTGGCAGAGCCAAGCTGGAGGGACGATGTTGGGATGAATATCCCACATCCAGGTGGGAACCTCTGGGTTTCATATTCCAGTGGCTGGAATTCTCTTCCCATGGGCAATGCAGCACGGTTGGATCCAAAACGAGTCAATCCAAGAGCAGATTTAAAAAATCCATGGAAAAACCATGGAAAAATGGAGCTCAGCACCAACAGTCTGGACTCGGAACCCATTGCTGGAATTTTGTTTTCAGGATCTTCAGACATGGGACAGAGAAGGTTTTCATTGCTGAGCACCTTCATCATCATCCAATGTCGGTTCCTGTTATCCCAGAATCATGGAATGGTTTGGGTCGGAAGGACCTTAAAACCCATCCCAACTCCTGCCACGGCAGGGACACCTTCCCCAGTCCCAGGTGGATCCTTCTCCAAGTGAACATTCCCAGCTCTCCCAGCTGGCTCCAGAGCATCTCCATGGCCTCCTCTGGATTTGCTCCAGCAGCTCCAGGTCCTCCTGACGTTGCCCCAAAGCTGGAGGCAGCTCTGCAGGCGGGGTCTCAGCTGGGCAGAACTCCCACCTTTCCCGCTGCCCAGGGCACAGGGATCTGTCTGGGACATTTAGAGCTTCCCATCCACAACATCCCAAGCCCTTCTCCGAGGGCTGCTCCAATCAGTCTCTTCCCACCTGGAAGACTGGATCTGTGCCGGGATTGTCCTGCCCCAGGAGCTCCTGCCCTCGCTGAGCCTCACGACGTTGGGATGGTCCAACCTCTCCAGAATGTCGTGGAAAATCCCTCCAGGTGTGATCCCAGTGCAGAGCATGGTGTCACCTTCACCATGCCAAGGGTGACCAATCCCGGTGTCCTTGTCACCAACGGAGACGTTGAACTGTGCTGATCCCAATCCTGGGGTGGCTGGTCCCACCTGGGCAAGAAGCTGGTGACAACTCCAAGTGCCACCATCCATGAAATCCCTTTCTCCAGGGTGGGGACAGCCATGCCACCTGGGACAGCATCAAATGTCTCAAGTCCTTGGGAATCACCGGATCCAGTGGCTCTTCCAACCTGAGGTCCCATCCAGCTCTCCCAGAATGGGACAGGGAATGGCTGGGAAGACAAATCTTGAATGTCCAGGTCATCTCCAACCACCCAAAACCGACCAGATTTGCTGAAATGCAGAGCTGGAATTGAGAGGAATTCTTCGATCTCTGCAACTCATGGATACACCAGCTGGACATTTCTTCATCAGTTTTATTTTTGGGATAAAATTCCCAAACTCTTGTGGGTTCTTCTGCACCAGGGCCAGTCCTGGGAGGTCTCCTGTGTCCCTGGGAGACAAACACCAAACGCTTCCCAAGGGAAGGGAATCCGAGCCAGAGCTAAAGGACAGGGAGCAGATTTGGGAGGCTACAGTAGGATCAGGATTCCTGGGAACACATCCCACCCCAGTGCCACCAGGACAAGACTGCACAACCTTTAATCCACCCCAAAACCCTCAGCCAGAGCTGATCTGCCAACAGATTTTTAGTGACAACATTTCCCTCCTTAAACAAGAGAAGAATTCCCATCTAAATTAATTTCCTTTTCCCAAACTGCTTTTCCCCTTTTTTAACATGCCCCTATTTTCATTTTCCTGTTCAATTTACCCATTTTTTTAAAAATCATCCTTCTCTTCCCATTTCCAGCTGCCCACCGCCCTGGCCCTCAGCACTTCCTGGGAAAAAGGGTTTGGGAATTTCTGTTTGTTTTTCCCTAACAAAGCCATTCCCATTTTCAGCCAGATTTTTAATTCACAGCAAACAGAGCCTAAAATCTCCAAGATTTTGCCAAATTACAGAAATCCCTCCCCCACAGCCTCTCCACACTTTGCAATTCAAATATATTAAATAATTATTAATTAATTAATTACTCTTGGGTTTTTTATATCACATTCTCCCACATTTTTGACAGATCAAACCTCAGGCTTTTCCAGAAAAACCCACAGCTTCCAAAACATTTTTTATCTCCCAACAGCCACCATTTTCTCCCTTTATTTTTTCCTTCAAAGCTGAAACTGTGATTTCCTTCAAGGCTGAAAGCTGGCAGGATGAATGGACGCATTTTCTGCGTCGCCCCGAGCCAGCCTCTGGAATATTCAGTGTTGTCACACAGAGCAGATTTGGAAGATGAAATTTCGGGTTCTAAATGGGCTCTTTTGTTTTCAGGCAGAGTTTGGAGGAGAAGGAGGGGGGGAATGAACACACAGACATCTCACCCGCCCCCAGACATGATTTGAGTCCCCACACACAACATTAGTATTTCACTCCGCTGCTTGAGGTTTGTTTTGTTGTTTGAAACCCGCTGCAAAGTCAAAAAACACTTCAATACTAAAATAATAAAAATCAACACGTAAAGCAACTCTGAAATGCAACTGGGAGCAGAACATGCCGTTACAATCATTTCTAGCACCATTCCCAACACTCAAACTTGGCGACCAGCATCCCAATCCATGGAATTCCCAGGAAAAACAACCAGCGGCAGGAAAAGGTGCCGAGTACACACGCTTAGGGAATAATCTGGGAAAGCCACTCACCTTCATATGAGTGCATTCAAGGTTACACAGAGAACACAAATGTGGGAATATTCGCGGCGACGTGGCATAGTAGTCGTTCATCATGGACGGGGTGGGCAGGCGTTTGCTCTTCTGGTCCGGGAACACGGGCAGCCAGGACGCCTTCACCACCCCGAACGGGGATTTGATGGGCTCCTGTGCTGGTGGGTGGAAGGGTTTGTGGTAGGGTTTGTGTCCCGCCGAGGTCCCGCCGGCAGTGCTGGGCCCGGGATGGGCGCTGCCAGCGTCGCGCTGCTTCTGCTCGTGTTGGCTGATGGCGGCCAGGAGCCCGGCCGAGAAGGGCGGCGGCGTCAAGGGCGGCAACACGTGCTGGGACACGGGCGGCTGGACCAGCGGCGGCATCACCGGGGGCAGCATGGGCTGCGGCAGCGGCGTGGGCAGCAGCGCCGGCAGTATGGGCGGCAGCACCGGCGGCATGGGCGGCTGGGACACCGGCTTCACCACCGGCAGCGCGGCGGGCGCACTGCTGCACAGCACCGGCACCTTGGCCGGCGGCTCGGCCGGGAAAAACGATGGAGTGGGAGAGGAGTCAGTGGGGAAAGCCGGCAGCTTGATGAGGTCTTCGGCCGGGAACACGGGGTTGCACGACACGCTGGGCGGTGGGACGGCCACCGGCACGCTCTGCTCCCGCTGGAATTCTTCCCGGATCTCCGTGCTCGAGCTTTCGGGATTGTAGACGCGCGCTTCCAGCGGTTCCTCGGGCAGCGCCTCGGGGTTGTAGGTGCGGATCTCCAGCGGGTCCTCGGTGTAGCCGTACTTGCTGGCGTGGCCGTAGTCGATCACTTTGCTCTTGACGGTGGCGCCGCTGCTCTCGCCCACCGGCTCCTCCCCCCGGCTCGGAGCGTGCAGCCCGGACACGGCGTGGCCCATCTTCCGGATGCGGATCTCCCGCAGGATCCGCGGCATGTTCTCGGGCGTCAGCTGGTCATCGGGGTAGCGGCTCAGCTCCTCCAGGTCTTCGTTGGACAGCCCGAAGCTCGCTAAAATGCTGGAGGCGCTTTCAGGCGTGTAGCGGTTCTGGGGGTTGGAGTTCTGCTCCAAGACCGGCGCCGGGCCGGGCGGCTTTGGCCCGGCGGTGCCGGGGCCGCCATCCCAGCGACTGGTGCGTGGGTCTCCCTTCTGCTCCTGGTGCAGGCCGGTCTTCTCCTTGACTTTCCTGGGATCGGCCCTGTGCAGCGTGACGCGGACGTTGATCCTCTGCGAACCCGTCCACTGCAGCGCATCCTGCCCCGAGAATCTCTGGGGCGCTCCTTGGGGCGTCGCGGGTGCGGCTTTCCTGGGCGGCCCCGCCGCGCCTCCGGCCCCAAAACCTCCCGGGGGTTTGCTGCCCGAAGGGTTGGGTCCTCTGGGCCTCGGGGGCAAGGTTCCTCTGGGGCTAAACATTGCGTCTTTCAGCAATGCCTGGCGGGCGCCAGCGTGGGGAGGTGCCCGCCCGCCGCTGGCAGCCAAGTGCTGGAGAGCCAAGTGGGTCTTAATTTGGGCAAGCTGAAAAGGAGGAGGGCCCAACACAAGGGGGCTGGCAAGGCCAAGGTTCAGGGAATTCACAAGTGGTGCGAAACTTTCCAAGAACAACACAAAGCTGCAAGTTAAAAGACAAGGATTAGATGGGTCATCTTTGGCATCTGCTCACAGCGGCTTCTAGGACGGGGAGAAAAGCAACCCGAGGCACAGAAGCGGGATTTGCACCACAGTTTAAAGCACTCAAAATTCACAAAAAAACCCGTTTTTCTTTCACTGTTTAAATCTTAAATATAGAGAACAGCTGATTAATCAATTAAACAGGTGCTTAACAAGCTTAACCCAACAAATTGGATGTCACAGGGAACACAACTGGTGGTGACACTTGCAACAGCATCGCTTAACACCTGGCATTTCATTTCTTTGTGACAACAGAGTTTGTGTTTAATTACAATTAATAATTTTAGGAGCAGTAAGGCAAAGCGTGAAACCTCCCTGTTGGAAGGGTGACGAGGGATGAGTTGGAAGTAGAACCATTTAGATGGAGAACTCCAACCAGTTCCAACTGGGTGGAGCCGAGCCGGAGCCGTTTCCAGGAGGACACTCCCATGAGCGCTCTCATGGGTGAAGAGCAAACCCTGCAAGAATTCACAGGGTGGGACGAGGCTGGAATTCTGTGGGTAGAAAATATCCGATCTCTCCAAGAGCTTAAATGGAAAGGGTTTGAAACAGAGAGGAGTAAAATTGTACAGGAACAACAACAACAACAAAATCTCCACACAAAAAGCACCGTGGTCAATGGAAGCGGGGCTTGGTTTGGGTGAAATCACTGAGAATTCAGTGCTGTGAGGTGGGAAAAGAAGGTACAAATACAGGGAGAGGAAAATAAAACACCACAGACCTCTGGAAAAAGAATCACACAGGGCTTGGGGCTGGAAGGGACCTTAAAGCCCATCCTATTCCACACCTCCCATTATCCCAGGGTGCTCCAAGCCCCATCCAAGCAGGTCAGGGATGGAGACCGAGACCAGTGAAACATCAAAGAGCAGCAAAGTCCTTGTGCAGCTCCTTGAGGACCGAGCGAGGACACTGGGAATTCTGCATTTAGGGTGAGGACAAAGCAGCAGCCACAACATCAGCGCGTTCCCAGCTCCGTCCCCGTTCCCAACCCCAAACGCGGCACTGCCAGAGCAGCAGCTGCAAAAACTCCCAACCCCGTCCCAGCCCAAACCAGGAAAACTCCAAACCCGGGAATTCCTCATTTCCCCCTTGTCCATTTGTTGTCTCCCGGAACTGGACTCTTCTTGCAGGTTTTCCAGGAGTTTTCCCGGCCGTTCCTGAAGCTCCATGCTGAGTTCCTGCAGCGCCGAGGTTCTCGTCTCACCAATGCCGACGTTGTCACAGGGTTTTGTTTTCCAAGCTCGTGGAAGTTGACTCCAGCTGGAAGTTTTTCCATGAGCAGAGGTTCACACAGAGATCACAGCTCAAGTAATAAACCTTACAGGGAGTGACCAAACACAGGTGCAGGAGAGGAGGATTTTTCAGCATAATTCCTGGAGTTTGTTCCCATCTGGCTGTGAGTTTTTTTGAGGAATTATTTAACTTGAAGCAAGTACAAATTGTTCAGGCTCAGGAGAAACATGAATCCTATTAATCCTCTCCAAGCAAACAATAACCAGATTCCCACCAGGCCGCATTCCCAAAATTCCAGCCATCTCACCCAATATTCCTCCTCCTTCCATAAATTAAATTAGCTTTCAACAGGAGCTGCATGTGAAGCCGAGTTTGCTCCAGAGGGTTTCCAAACAAATGTGAATCAACATTTTCCGAGCCATCTCCTGCTTTCTGTGTGTTCTCCAGAATTCCCACCACTGGACGACAAAAATTCCTTCTGAGCCCATCCCCGTGGGAAGCACTTGGAGAAGGAACACTGTCAAAGCCACCCATCATCAGGACAACCTCAAATGGATCAGCGGAGCAAATCTGAAACACCACCAACCTTAATTCCACAGATCAGGAATCTCCCAAAGGAGATAAAAAACCAGAATTCCCATAGGATGAGTTTTTACCTCTCCAGGTATTTCCAGGTGCTGCATCTCACATGGACACCTGGGAGCAGGGAAGTTCCTACAGCAGGATCGGGAATAACAACTCACCTCTGCAAACCTCAGCTTGTTAGCCTGGCCAGGGATGGGATCCAGGCTGGGAAAGACTTGGAGCAACCTGGTTTATGGAAAATGTCGCCATCCATGGCAGGGGGTAGCACTGGATGGGATCTGAGGTCCCTTCCCACTCAAACCAGTCCAGGATTCTAGGAAGGGCTGTGGACAAGGAACTCCTGAGTGACCTTTCCAAAGGAAATGCTGGAAATGCTTCTAAGGAAATGCCAAGATGGAGTAAACAATGGTCTGGAGATATCAGGGAGAGCCTCACCTTCCTCTTCCAGGCAGCTTTGTTTGTAAAGCGTCGGAGTCTCGGAAGCGCCACTGCTGGGACAGGGACACCACAGCAGGGACCGAGCTCTGAGCCGGGGCTGCGGCGACACTGAACGGAAATCAGGTGGAATCATGGAATGGTTTGGATGGGAAAAGAGCTTAAATCCCATCCAATCCTACCCCCAGATCAGGGACACTTCCACCATCCCAGGGTGCTCCAAGCCCCAGCGTCCAACCTGGCCTTGGACACTGCCAGGGATCCAAGGGCAGCCACAGCAAATCTGGGAATTCCAGCTCAGCCCCTGCCCACTCTCCCAGCCTGGAATTCCTTGCCAAGATCCCACTGCAATCTCTACTTTTCCAATTTGAAGCCATTCCCTGGGTCCTGTCCCTCCATCCCTCATGTTCCAACTCCCTCTCCAGCTCTCCCTTAGGCTCTCAGCTCTCCCTGGAGCTTTCCCTTCTCCAGGAGAACATTCACAGCTGATCCCTGGGAACGGCAATCCCAGAACTTCAGAGCACCACACAAAAGCCGAACGATGCCTTCCTTGCTTTCCCCTCAACTTCCCGCCTCCATTTTTCCAGGCTTCCCAATACAGATGGAGAAATCCAAAGTTCTGGATTTTAAGCTCTCCCTGGCGTTTACAGCGCCTGCACAAGGCTCCGCTGCACAAAGAGACAGATCTGGAGCAAGAATTCCTGCATGGAGGAAAAGGGCAAGGAACCTGCACCAGCACAGAATCCTGGGATTATTCCAGCTGGAAAACACCTTTGGGACCATCCAGTGCAAGCCGTGCCCCATGCCCACCTCGGCACTGAGTGCCACATCCAGGGATGGGACACTTGGACACCTCCAGGAATGGGCACTCCAAACCTCCTTGGGCACTTCCAAGGCCTGAGCACCCTTTCCATGAGGAAGTTCCTGCTGATGTTCCCGCTGAGCCTACCCTGGCACAGCCTGAGTCCGTTCCCTCTTATCCTGTAATTCCCTGGGATCAGATCCCAAATCCCCCTCCCTGTCAGGGAGTTGTGGAGAGCCACAAGGTCCCTCTGGAGCCTCAGGAGAAGGCAGAAGCAGATTTCTCCCGCTCCAAAGAAGGTTCATCCAAAAGGAAATTCCAAAAGGAGAATTTCCTGATTTGTCCCTATAAATAGCATGGAAATTTCTGGCTCTGTGCTAACTCCAGAGCAGATAAACAAAGCTGGAACCAAAGCCATGCCTGGGAAACTGCTGTGCTTTTCCAAGAGCTCTTCCAGAACTGACCACATCCCCATGGATCTGACTGTGTCCAGTCCCAAGACCTGGGTCTCCTTTGGAGATTCCCTGCTTGTCTTTTGTTTGATGGCAAAACCTTGGAATGTTTTGGAAGAACCTGGATTTTCCTCCTCCTTCCTGTGCTGCCCAACACCACAATGGCATCCAGAGGGTGCCATGGTCCTTCCCTCTGGAGAATTCCTCATCCACAGCAGCTCAGATGCTCTCTCATCAAGGTCAGGACTTGGACAAGGCATTCCCAGCCCTTTTCCTGCATCTGGGAATTCTTTCCTGTGATCCTGGATGGCTCTGGGCACTTCACCACCCTCTGGGTGGATCTCTGGGATTGTCACCTCCAGACTTCCCTGTGCCAGCACAACCCCACCTCGAGGGGACATCCCAGCTCCAGCAGGAGCTCCTGGATTTTCTGGGTTATCCGTGGAGTCCATCTGTATTATCCCTCCATCCTGGGATCTTCCAGCTCCTCCTGCACGGCCCAAATCCAGCAGAGCACGACAGATCCAGGTGGTCCGGCATTCCAGCAGAATCACCTGTCCTCAGGCAAAAAATTCCCAGGATCTGAGAGGTGAAAGCAGCTCCAGGCAAAATCCTCCCTGGGGACATTCCGGTTACCAGCTCCAGATCCAGCAGGATCTCAACTGGGATCAGTGCATTTGGAATTCCAAGAGCCAGGATCACTGGGAATGTTCTAGCCACACCAGGACACACAAGGGATTGGGATGTATCCTGCAGGATGAGGAGGAAGAGGAAGGCAGAATGGGAATGGTCCTGGAGCACCTGGATAACGGGAAGAGGACAAACCCCAGCCTGGAAATTTGGATTTCCCAGGGAAAAGAGAACTTTGAGCAAAGGCTGAGCTGGAATTGTAAAGCCTGAAGGAAGCAGTTCCTTAAAAAGGACCAGGATGGGAAAGGAAGCACTTGAATAAGAAAATTCCTGGGATGAGATAAAACCATGTGGAAAAAAGGGACCCAAACCCCAAGCAAAGTTATTCCTCCCACTCTGTGCAAACCTGGAAGCCAAACTCCCATTTTCCCACTCCTCCATCCCAGTTTTCCTATGGAAAAGGACACTTTGCAGGTATGGAATATCCCTTCAGCCACTCTAGGCTCATTCCCAGCCCAGGGAAAGCCAAACTCAGCTCCCAAATCCCAAACAAAACTCCCAGCAAATGTTAATTCCATCCCTACCCAAAAATATCAACACCAGCTGTGGGAATCTACTGGACTATTCCCAAAATTCTGACCCATCCCAGCCTTTGGAGCAGAAACCAGGCGCGCCAAAATAAAAAAATAAAAAATCAGGACAAGCCTTTCAGCCAGGAATTCCTGAAACAGGACCAAAAACGGGCATTTTACTACCAGGAATCTTCCTCAAATTCCACTTCCAGAGCAGCACGAAGTTTGATAA